TATATCTAAAGGGGAAAGGTAAGGGGGAGGATATTAAGTTAAAAAAATAATTTACAATCTAAAATAGTTTATTATTTATCAAGAGCATTTTGACCACCAGTTGAAAATTTTAAATACATTTTGCAACGCGCAGTGTTTTTGATGTTTCTCGCATCGGTATGTATTACTTGAATCAAGTTCTTGTAAAGAGGTGATATCCTCATACTGTGCATCTATTGTTTCAATGATTAAATGTCCCCGCATGTCATCGCTGAGAATATCCCGCAACCATCGCCGTTTTTCAAGTCCTTTGACGTATACTAGCGAATGTTTCTCATCGCCATTTTCTTCCATCGCATAGCGTAGGGCTTCCCTGATTAATTGCGTAACTGCACAGTACGGTATACATCCATCCGCCCATAATAATCCATGATGATTAGCGGTCAACCATGAAACTTGAGACTGTTCAGATCGTTTGAGAAGATTNTGAGAGAGAACAGCGGTCAATTTCAATATCGCTACTTCCTTTACGATAAAAGTTCTCCCGACGATGAATCCTTGCATGTCCACAAATGTCGGCACGCTTATGATGAAATATTCTTCAATATTGATTCGAGAAGAATGTTGTGTACAGCACTTTTTTTCAGCTTTTTATTCCTTTCTCATACCATTTTGTTAGTAGAGTTTGCTCACTATGTTGGTTAGCGGACGGTATTCAACTACGCGATCATGTAGGATGAGACAGTACGCGGTAGTATTCACCGGTATGTTCTCTTTACATTCAAATTCTATTCGCACATCCACAGTGGCACTCTTGATTGATTCATTTTGACGCGAACAATCGATAACCACGAAAGGACCTCGCCGCAGAAAATCATCAGTTGTTAACCATACATCATCACTGCTGCATCCATAGTACGATGTACGAAAACGTTTATACATTTTGTAAAGTATTGCGTATTTTCTCTTTGCAAAGTCCAAATTCATATCATCGTACGGATAACACTCTGAATTTAGATAGAGTTTTGCATTGATCAAATTGCAGTTGTCGAATTGAGTTATATTTTCCGCCATGACATTCTTCCGACCAGTCTGTAGTGCAAAAATAACATATCGCGGTTTTTCCAAATTAGTGGCAGTTTTGACAGGACACAAGTGTTTGGTCGTGTTTTCTAGCAGAAGAAATTCATACAGGTCCCACGAGCGGAAACTCATGCTCACGTATCGGCCGTTTTCCAAGGTTCTCAACAGTGAGAGCTTATTGATATCGTTCAAGAGTACGTGAGGCATTCTCCATTGTATCTTGAATAGCTTCACCTTAGGCTCCAACGCCGATGATCCACGTAGTCTGTTGTCACTGCACGATCGTATGAGAATCAATTCGATGCGCGCATTAATCACTATACGCCTATAGTCTTCACAAAATCCAAGCAATAAGTTGAGCGGTATGCAAAAGTTGAAGTATCCATCTGTCGAATGAGCGTTGATCGTATCCCACGCAGCATTTTTTATGCAGGCAATTTTGTCAGAAGATAACGATATATAATTCTTGACCATGGAAGTTATTCCAACGTTTTTGTTACTATCAATCTCTACACCATCTAGTTCATAACGAATCTCATCAAACATGAATGCGACGCAATTACTTCCCAATGTTACAGCCACATTTTCGGCTGTCGCTTGTGCAATTATATTTCCCTCAACATAAAGATAACTCTCGCATTGCAATGTGTATAAATCCTGCTTTTGATTTGGCATTCTTATCTCATCGCTATATCCTAACGTTGTGTTGGCGTATGGGTTGTACGTGTGAGATTCAATCTTGACGATGCGATCTTCAAAGATCGGCTCACTTTCAATGTTCAAAATGTCAGTCACATCTTTTTTTTTCCTCAGTTAATCCGTACGATGAATCCCAGAGATTTCCAAAACTCTAGGTTCAATGCACTGAGTTTCTTTCGNTAAGTTTCTTTCGAGCAGAGGATTTTGTAGAGCTCATTGCGCGTCTCGTAAAAAATTTATTTTCCACTAGTTTCTCCTGTAGATCCACTTGTTTCACCACAAGCATCTCATAGATTTCACCTAATATCGTCGCCATCGTATGTGCAACCTGACGGTAATCTCTTCTCCTCAAAAATAAAGCAATCCTCCTTCTTGATCCACAACACGCACCGTTAAATCCGTAATGCTCCGTGCGATGATTGGAAGATAAATGACATGTGCCGGCGTTTTCGACATTTTATATCCTGGTGCTACTATAGGCTAGGATCCATGTATCGTATGTACGCGCGTACCGTTGCTGTACGCACTACTGACAACGTTGCATTCAATACGAATAATATTAAAGTTGATAATCTTAATCGGCACGTCCGATTCATACCATCGTTGCGGCTCTAATATACGATTCGAGGAGAATCCCAAGAGTGAGCCAATGTTGTTTAGTTTGCTAAAATTTATTCTATAAGCGCATTTTATTTTGCTTTTCATCGTATTAAGATTGGCGCGAATTATTATAGGATATTCATCCTCATTATATCTATATAGAATATTCTTGTTAGTTTTCGCCTGCAGTGTTTTTCGAGATTGTAAAATTGTGCGTCTTAAATATTCATGTATCGCAGACAATTCGTACGATCCTTCAGAAATCACAGAATTTCTTCGTCGTTATCGCCATAGTAAAATTATTATTCGACAAAGTTACGTTCGGTATCGTGTTGTACGATTCATAATCCGTTATACCGAG